CACTGCACTAAACACCCACCAACTGTAGCAGACACTTACCCACTGCATTAAATAGCCATCCAATGCACCAAACACTAACCCAATGCACCACACGCTCACCCACTGCATTAAATACTCACTACGTTAAACACTCACTCACTGCAAATAGCTGACTAGAACCCCGAACTCCCAGACAAGAACAATGAAGCATGTCACGCTGTCAAGGCGATAGAACGTTAAACAGTGCAAGAATTAGATCATTCACATATTCGGTATGTGAATGATCAGCACATCACATGGAACTCTACACTAGATACTGATCAACGTCTACTTCCCAACGCGTAAAATTTACCAGCTATTTTGTTTTCAATTTCCAAAGGCGCTTGCCGATAGACACTTAGCTTTGTACTCGCCTATATGTAGCTACAGGGGCTGATTCACAGCTCCTGGTCCCGCCTCTCCGCTGGTCGCTACTAAGGTCCACTGTCTCCCTATTCCAAGAGTCTTATCGTACCTATGTGTGTACTCACCTAATTGTGGTTACAGGGGTCGAGATTCAGCGCCTTGCCCCTGCGCGCGCGCGCGCGCGCGCGTGTGTGTGTGTGTGTGTGTGTGTACGAGCCTAATTGTATTCAACTGTGATTTCAGAGTTCGGTTCTCAGCTCCTGGACCCGTCTCTCTGTGGCTGGTACTAGTTTCACTCTCTCCTGACTGCGTGAGCCCTATCATGCCTATTCTTAAAGCAATGGCTGGATTCTGCCTGTACCACTTTGCCTCTACCACTGCCTGTACCACTTTACAGTCTAGGTCGTTCCACTTCCTGGCCTGTGTGTGTGTGTGTGTGTGTGTGTGTGTGTGTGTGTGTTGCTGTTGTTGTTGTTTGCTTGCTGGGTTTATCCCTGTGGTGATTAAATTGTCTTCTCGGCGCTTTCTTCTGTCTTCTTAGAAGACAATACAGTGGAGTCACACAAACAGTTGCCCTGTTACCACGACAGCCGTTTTTATAGTCAGCCAAGATGCGTCCATTCTTCTGGAACCAATTCAGCGTGAGTTCGGAATTCCACCTGGCTGTGAGGTCGTATTTTGCCACTGCTCATCCACCTCTACATTATCATTTCCTATCATTTGTTTATTTAACAATAGTACTAAGCACTCGTGTTAAGGTGTTCAGTAGGATTATCTCACTTCTGTCTTGTCTTTAAGAGTCACTGAGAGGCTCTCCAGCAAGCTTAACATCTGGCTCTTGAACGACGGTACTCTGGCGGGACCACAGAGTTACTGCTAGAGATTATTAGGGAAAACTGATAACTCTGTATGACTCTAGCCTTCTGCCTAATTCCCTTCTAACGTGAACCGGTGTCTTCTAGTGAACTCATAGTTGGTCAAAATAAAGCCTTACTGCCAGAAGTTTGGTTCGTTCATCCCACCGACAGTATTCGTTTCAGTCCTCCTCTTGTTTCTAACGTCTCTACCAAAATTCTAAGCAGGACTGGTAACAATCATTCCCATGATACTTTTTATCTCTTCACTAGAAGTCTATACTTAATTAAGTTTTCCCACAGTGATGTTCTTCATCCGTCACTCACCTCTTACTACGTCGTCGAAATATATTTTAAAACTACCGTATGAAAAAGGCAAACATTTCTCAGAGTGACTTTCAGTGTGTGCAAATTTATTGTTAAATTGTATGGACTAGGCCACGTGTATTTCATTTCAAATTACATTACCAGTCATCCAAATCTGCAGCATACAACTGGTAAAAAAAAAAAAAACCGAGATGATGTGCATTACCACAGCTTTACTAGCGGCATTAAGGAATACCAACACTGACACCGGGTCCGTCAAACACTGAGGGTGGCAAATAATCTGGCTGGAACAGCCGCATTGCTGAAAAGATTGCTGCAGCAACTATTGTAAAGTCTTCAAAGAGAGTGTCAGGTTCTTCAACAGTTTCCATCACTACACGTGATATACGCATCGGATTGTCCCATTATAGTATCTCTCTTCCTTGGTGAGGAGGCGAAGCTCAGACTTCTGCAACACAGTTGTTCTCAAAGATTTGTTAAGTCATACCATGAATTAAGGAAAGATCCTGGACTTCACCTTATAAAAGCAGACAAAGTAAATACAATAGTAATTATGGACAAGGTGGATTATAGGGGAAAATGAACATGTTATTTGAAGACAGGGGAGCTTTCGAGCTAATTAAGGAAGAGATTTACCAGCGTAAGGAAGTCAATGCATTAATGATTAATGGTTAAACCTGTGAGACCTTGAGTGTGGGCTTTCAACCTAATTCACCTGCCTTTCATATCTGTCACTACTCATGGAGTACAACATTATGTATATAGAATAAGTAAATCATGAATGATTCATTTGATGAATCAGACAAAGATGCATCAACCATCAAACCGCATAATGTAACAGCAGCAGCAGTAGCAGCGGTGGAACCAATAGCAGTAGAAGCGGCTAAAGCGACAGCAGCAGAAGCAACGGCAAAGACAGCAGCACTGACAATAGCAAGAGAAGAAGCATCTGCAACAACAGATTAGCAAAACCAACAACAACAGCAACCACAAAAACAACAGCAGCAGCAGTAGTAACAGCACCAGCATGGACCGACATTTTAACAGGTCATGCTGGGTCAAATGACCACTCTCGATTAACTCATTTGGAGCAGAATGAGCTAAACTCATCTACATTTTACTGGGAGAATCATTACTGCGAACTCCATTAAATTCAGATCAGGCATAAGGCTGACGTTAGGTCAATTAGCAAGAGTGTGTGTTAGCTGTGATGATCATCATCTCTGTTGCATCACTCGCAAAGTTGCATCCAATGCAAGACTCAACTATTAAAGCAAACACTAACAAATTTAGTTAGCTAAGATGTTCTCCTATTCCAGCTAATCAACACATTTAATTACGCATTTCTATGCTTGGAAAAAATTCGCAATATTTTCGTCAAAGAGCTATTATATATATATATATATATATATATATATATATATATATATATATATATAATATATATATATATATATTATATATATATATATATAATATATATATAATATATATATATATATATATATATATATTATATTATATATATATTATATATAATATATATATATATATATATATATATATATATATATATATATATATATATATATATATAATATATATATATATATATATATATATGCAATAAGATCACAGTAAACAGGTGATTTCAAAATATGCAAAACAACCACTCTGAAAGAATAGAGAAATTCCAAGCGCTTTCGTGACTACTCACATTATAAAGGAACTATGTCCATAGTTCCTTGATAATGTGAGTAGTCACGAAAGCGCTTGGAATTTCTCTATTCTTTCAGAGTGGTTGTTTTGCATATATATATATATATATATATATATATATTTTATATATATATATATAATATATATATATATATATATATATATATATATATTATATATATATATATATATATATATATATATATTATATATATATATATATATATATATATATATATATATATATATATATATATATTTATATATTTTACACTATATATATATATAATGCATCCAGGAAACAAGTAGTTTTGTACCAAATAGCATATTGCGACTAGCTAGGTATCTAACCACAGATATTTTAACCAGCCTCACGGAAAGCAAACTAAAATCCTCGACGCCTTAGTCCACTACACCACGATGCTTTTAACGTTAATTGTTCACAACCTGGACATGCCACGCCTAACGTGAGCACATTTGTGGCCGTGGATAGCTATAGGAACTAATATCATTCTACTCCCATATTAGATACCAGTGTCACGTTCAGTACACATATTAATACATCGACGTGTGCCTGAACCCAGCCTCGCAAACACACTCGTCCTGTCCACCCTGTCAATTTCTCTCACTATTTTGCACGTCGTAAACATTCACCACTGTTTCTTCTGTCTTCTAGTATCGTCAGGTTTAGCTCCTCTAGCCTCTTCTCACTGTTCATACCCCTCAGCTCTGGAACTAGTCTGGTTCCAAACTGTTTCACTTTTCTCCAGCTTCTTGACGTGCTTTACAAGATGAGGGTTCTGTCCTCGCGCTGCATACTCCAAGACAGGTCTGAATAGTACCGTGCATAAAGATTTTTGCGCCTCCTTGTCGAGGTTCCAGAAACTTACTCTTAAATTTGCCAGCCTTGCGTTTGCTGCAGCGGTTATTCGGCTGGCGTGCCGCAGGCGAAATGCTGGGAACTATGCTCACACTAAGGTCCTTCTCTTTTTGGAAGGTCTGTAGCCTTTGTGCCTCAGGCCTGCACTCTGTTTCCGGTTTTCTTTGCCCTTCCGCAATTATCCTAACTTTACATTTGTTGGGGTTAAATTCTAACAGAGACGCACTCACACACATATACACACACTTGTGAGTGTGTGTGTGTGTGTGTGTGTGTGTGTGTGTGTGTGTGTGTGTGTGTGTGTGTGTGTGTGTGTGTGTGTGTGTGAGCACTGGAAGCTGTAGTAAGCTTGGAGTGGCAACATCCTTTTCATCAGCATGCATTTATATGACTCGTGTGATAACAAGTTTGGTATATCGACTTAAGTTATTCATTCATTATTAGCAAAAACATCAAAGAGTTTTAACTGATATAACTAATTGCAATTAAATCCATTGCAGTTGCTACAAGACTATTTTTCGTAATATTAAACATATCCAATCGAAAATAATAATAATAATAATAATAATAATAATAATAATAATAATAATAATAATAATAATAATAATAATAATAAGAAGAAGAACAGATAAAATAATAATAATAATAATAATAATAATAATAATAATAATATTAATGATATAACAGAGACTAAGAATGTCTGCTCAAAAGATCTGAGCAGAAGATAAGACCTTTATTGGCACTGCTAGAGGATGTAGTAGTGTGGTTGGCATTAGGGTCTGAGTGCCAGACGGAGGGTGTCGGGGACTGCCGGGGTGGTGCCAGGCTCGACCTACCTTTAAAGTACTCGTCCTGTCCTGGGGAAGACTCCGTGGAGGGCCGAGAGATTTCTGTGGATGGACGAAAAAGATAATAGGGTCCAGACTTGCTGCAGGACTGCCCCTGTGTGAGGAATGCCTCAGGGGATATCGCCCTGTGTGGGATACCTAACTGTGAGGGATACCTCCTTTGAGGGATACCTCCACGTGAGGGGATACCTCCGTGAGAGGGGGTATCTCCCTTCGAGGGAATAATTTCCCTGTGAGGGATACCTCTATGTGAGGGGATACCTCCCTGTGAGGGATACTGCCCTGTGGTATTCCTCACACCTTCCCCTGGCCTGCCTATATCAGGGAAGTGGAGATATATCATTAACGAGGTGGTAAGGGGTGGATGAGAATGAGTAGTGTAGGTGTACTTGCGTTGAGAGAGTATTGTCGGAGTGTGAGAGTTACAGGAGTGTAGAAGTGGGTTGAAAGTGAATTGTTGGGAGTGTGAGAGCGAGTTATAAGGGTGTGAGAGTAAGTTGTAAGAGAGTGGGAGTTAACTGTAACGGTGAGGGAGTGAGTTATATAAGTGTAGGAGTGATTTTAAAGCTCGTGAGAGTAGGACAGTTACACACATTAGTTATATCCAAATCTGGACACACATTTTCAATTTTTTTTCCAAGCATTTATAGGATATTTTGAAGTTTCGACTGAAGTTGCTGATGCATTCAAATTTGGACACAATTTTTATTATTATTACTATTATTATTATTTTCAAGCATTTACAGGATATTTAAAATTTCAGAGTGAAAATCAGATATTTTGGGTTGAAAAGAATTAATTTAGAGTTAGTGTCCAGTTTTAAAGACTTTAATAAACTTTACACAAGAGTGAAAGACGTTAAGAAAAGCCTAACATGGCAGTACTAGATTATGCTTCAGACGAAGCTTCGCTCTGCGTAAAGCTTAATAAAGTCGTGATAAAGTTACGCTCAGAGTGGAATACTGTTCCAACAGAAGCTTGTTCCGCAACGTTTCGCTCTCCTTCACTGTCTGGCAGGTGGGTGAGCAAGAGAGGAAGCGGTAAGACCCACCGTTGAGCTGGACAGCTAGGCTCTTCTCTCTCATCTTGTCGTTGTCGATGGAGGCGTTACAGCGGTACGTCGTTATGTCCTCCACTCTCAACCCCCGGATGATGAGCGTCGTCTGCAGCTTGGGCGGACTCTCACCCACCTGGTTCTCTATCACCTGGTACCGACCACCTGAGACACAGAAACACCTGGTTAATTGGCATTGAGTGAGGTGACGTGCCACGTTGGCACTAAAGAGGGATACAAGAAGTTAACTAATACTAGCCACATATGTTGAAAGGGGACTCTCACTTGTTGGAATACTGCTTACACTTTCTTGTGTGTGTGTGTGTGTGTGTGTGTGTGTGTGTGTGTGTGTGTGTGTGTGTGTGTGTACTCACCTAGTTGTACTCACCTAGTTGAGGTTGCGGGGGTCGAGTCCGAGCTCCTGGCCCCGCCTCTTCACTGATCGCTACTAGGTCACTCTCCCTGAGCCGTGAGCTTTATCATACGTCTGCTTAAAGCTATGTATGGATCCTGCCTCCACTACATCGCTTCCCAAACTATTCCACTTACTGACTACTCTGTGGCTGAAGAAATACTTCCTAACATCCCTGTGATTCATCTGTGTCTTCAGCTTCCAACTGTGTCCCCTTGTTACTGTGTCCAATCTCTGGAACATCCTGTCTTTGTCCACCTTGTCAATTCCTCTCAGTATTTTGTATGTCGTTATCATGTCCCCCCTATCTCTCCTGTCCTCCAGTGTCGTCAGGTTGATTTCCCTAAACCTCTCCTCGTAGGACATACCTATAGCTCTGGGACTAGTCTTGTTGCAAACCTTTGCACTTTCTCTAGTTTCTTCACGTGCTTGGCTAGGTGTGGGTTCCAAACTGGTGCCGCATACTCCAATATGGGCCTAACATACACGGTGTACAGGGTCCTGAATGATTCCTTATTAAGATGTCGGAATGCTGTTCTGAGGTTTGCTAGGCGCCCATATGCTGCAGCAGTTATTTGGTTGATGTGCGCTTCAGGAGATGTGCCTGGTGTTATACTCACCCCAAGATCTTTTTCCTTGAGTGAGGTTTGTAGTCTCTGACCCCCTAGACTGTACTCCGTCTGCGGCCTTCTTTGCCCTTCCCCAATCTTCATGACTTTGCACTTGGTGGGATTGAACTCCAGGAGCCAATTGCTGGACCAGGTCTGTGTGTGTGTGTGTGTGTGTGTGTGTGAGTGTGTGTGTGAGTACTCACCTAATTGTACTCACCTAATTGTGGTTGCAGGGGTCGAGACTCAGCTCCTGGCCCCGCCTCTTCACTGATCGCTACTGGATCCTCTCTCTCTCTGCTTCCTGAGCTTTGTCATACCTCTTCTTAAAACTATGTATGGTTCCTGCCTCCACTACTTCACTTGCTAGGCTATTCCACTTGCTGACAACTCTATGACTGAAGAAATACTTCCTAACGTCCCTGTGACTCGTCTGAGTCTTCAGCTTCCAGTTGTGACCCCTTGTCCCTGTGTCCCCTCTCTGGAACATCCTATCTCTGTCCACCTTGTCTATTCCCCGCAGTATCTTGTATGTCGTTATCATGTCTCCCCTGACCCTTCTGTCCTCCAGTGTCGTCAGTCCGATTTCCCTTAACCTTTCCTCGTACGACATTCCCTTGAGCTCTGGGACTAGCCTTGTTGCAAACCTTTGTACTTTCTCTAAACTTCTTGACGTGCTTGACCAGGTGTGGGTTTCCAGACTGGTGCTGCATACTCAGTATGGGCCTAACATACACAGTATACAGTGTCTTGAACGATTCCTTATTAAGGTATCGGAACGCTATTCTCAGGTTTGCCAGGCGCCCGTATGCTGCAGCGGTTATTTGGTTGATGTGTGCCTCCAGTGATGTGCTCGGTGTTATGGTCACCCCAAGGTCTTTCTCCCTGAGTGAGGTCTGTAGTCTTTGTCCACCTAGCCTATACTCTGTCTGCGGTCTTCTTTGCCCCTCCCCTAATCTTCATGACTTTGCATTTGGCTGGATTGAATCGAGAAGCCAGTTACTGGAACCACATGTCAGCCTCTCCAGGTCTCTTTGCAGTCCTGCCTCATCCTCGTCCGATTTAATTCTTCTCATCAACTTCACGTCATCTGCGAACAGGGACACTTCAGAGTCTATCCTTCCATCATGTCGTTCACATATATCAAAAATAGCACTAGTCCTAGAACTGACCCCTGTGGGACCCCGCTCGTAACAGGCGCCCACTGTGATACCTCTTCACGTACCATGACTCGTTGCTGCCTCCCTGTCAGGTATTCCCTTATCCACTGCAGTGCCCTTCCTTTTACGTGTGCCTGATCCTCCAGCTTCTGCACTAATCTCTTGTGGGGAACTGTGTCAAAGGCCTTCCTGCAGTCTAGGAAAACGCAATCTACCCAACCCTCTCTCTCGTGTCTTACTTCTGTTACCTTGTGTGTGTGTGTGTGTGTGTGTGTGTGTGCGTGTGTGTGTGTTTGTGTGTGTGTGTGCGTGTGTGTGTGTGTGTGTCTGTCTGTCTATCTGTAAGTGTGCGTGTCGTGCCGAATAGGTAAAGCTTGCGATTTTGGCTTAAATAGCAACGCACTTCTTGCAGAATAAGACAAGCGAATATTTGAGTATGCAAAAATTTCCCAAAAGTCATTCTGACCCTAATGAAAAAAAGTATATTTCTTTGTGTATGCTTATTATTAAATTATTTAAAACTTTTCTATAATATGTTTAGTTGGATTAGGCTAAATTAAATTGCGCTTGTTATAATAAGGTTAGGCAAGTCTTCTAAGGATCTTTTGGTACAAAATTATTAATTTTTTACATTAACACAAATGAAAAAAATGTATTTTCAAACTTAAAATAGAAAATTTTAGAAAGGACTTAATTTTAAATGAGTTCTAGCTAATTGACCAGTTTTACCTATTCGGCACGATATATATATAATATTATATATATATATATATATATATATATATATATATATATATATATATATATATATATATATATTTCGTGCCGAATAGGTAAAACTGGTCAATACATATATATATATATATATATATATATATATATATATATATATAAATATATATATATATATATATATATATATATATATATATATATATATATATATATATATATATATTATATTTGTACATACGTGGAGGTACACATAACTAAGGTACATCACACAGGAAGGTACGTATGCTACACACCTGATATGATCATCTTGCCCAGGTTATCCTGCCAGAAGACTACTGGTCTAGGGTACGCCGTCACGGTACAGTTGATGGCTACGTCATCACCACGGTACACGCCGATCATCTGGTGACTCACATACACGGCTGGCTCGCGGTCTGTGGGGTGTACACAGGAGTTACAATCGGGTGTATAAGGGGAGGTTAATGTGGGTATAAACGGGGGTTACTGTGGGGTGTACACGGGAGTTACTGTGCGTATAAACGGGGGTTACTGTGGGCTGTACACGGAGGTTACTGTGGGTATAAATGGGGGTTACTGTGGGGTGTACACGGGGGTTACTGTGGGTTGTACACGGGGGTTACTGTGGGGTGTACGACTGATGAAGCCACACAGTGGCTTCATCAGTCCAATACAAAGTAGAAGGAGGAGTTTGAGGTAATCAGTCCCTCAGCCTGGAGTCTATGTGTTCATTCCATCAATCTTGTAGAATGTACAGCATAGGACCGTAGACGTGGCTTATATACTGTAGTCAGGTGAGGCGAAGCAGGAGGTGGGGTCATAGTGGTACCATCCACTAGTCGAAGTAGGTCTTCGTCCAAAGGTTGGACAAGTGTTGAAGAATTCTTTGTAACAAGATCCCATGATGCTGCAGTGCTGAATAAAGATTCCCATATGTTGCATAAGTGTCTCAATCTTCAACTTGTCGGTTTTTCAAACCATTCATCACGGGGTTACTGTGGGGTGTACATAGGGTTACTGGGGGGGTGTACACGGGAGTTACTGTGGGGTGTTCACGAGGGTTACTGTGGGGTGAACATGGGGGTTACTGTGAGGTGAACACGGGGTTACTGTGGGGTGTACACGGGGTTACTGTGAGGTGTACACGGGGGTTACTGTGGGGTATACACGGGGTTACTGTGGGGTGTATACAGGGTTATCGCGAGGTGTACACGGGGTTACTGTGGGGTGTACATGGGGTTACTGTGGGGTGTACATAGGGTTATTGTGGGGTGTACACGGGGTTACTGTGGAGTGTACACGGGGTTACTGTGGGGTGTACACGGGGGTTACTGTGGGTTATACACGGGGTTACTGTGGGGTGTATACAGGGTTATCGTGAGGTGCACACGGGGTTACTGTGGGGTGTACATGGGGTTACTGTGGGGTGTACATGGGGTTATTGTGGGGTGTACACGGGGTTACTGTGGAGTGTACATTGGGTTACTGTGAGGTGAAAAGGGGGCTACTGTAGGGTGTACATGGGGTACTGTGGGGTGTATATGAGGTTAATATGGGGTGTACATGGGGTACTGTGAGGAGTACACGGGGTTACTGTGGGGTGTACAAGGGGTTACTGTGGGGCGTACATCGGGTTATTGTGGGGTGAACACGGGGTTACTCTGGGGTGTACACGGGGTTACTATGGGGTGAACGCGGGGTTACTCTGGGATGTACACGGGGGTTACTCTGGGGTGTACATGGGGTACTGAGGGGTGTACATGGGGTTACTGTGAGGTGTACATGGGGTTACTATGGGGTGAACTTAGGGTAACTGTAGGGTGTTCATGGGGTTACTATGGGGGGAACGCGGGGTTACTGTGGGGTGTACACGGGGTTACTATGGGTGAATGCGTGGTTACTGTGGGGTGAACACGGGGTTACTATGAGGTGAACGTGGGGTTACTCTGGGGTGTACACGGGGTTACTCTGGGGTGAACGCGGGGTTACTGTGTGGTGTACATGGGGTTACTATGGGGTGAACGCGGGGTTACTGTGGGGTGAACAGGGGTTACTATGGGGTGAACGCGGGGTTACTGTGGGGTGTACACGGGGTTACTGTGGGGTGTACACGGGATTACTGTGGGGTGAACATGGGGTTACTGTGGGGTTAACGCGGGGTTACTGTGAGGTGTACACGGGGTTAGTGTGGGGTGTACACGGGGTTACTGTGGGGTGAACAAGGGGTTACTGTGGGGTGTACGCGGGGTTACTGTGGGGTGAACGCGATGTTACTGTGGGGTGTACATGGGGTTACTGTTCGCAAAGTGGAGCCAAGTGCGGTGGAACTTTGACATTATTAGCTTTGCACATAACACTGAAACCGCCCACATCTCTCCTTTGTTGAAGGCTCTGCTGAAATGACAGATCCATCTAGGCCGGGTCCAGGCCAGAGATGAGTCGCCTTAAGTCCAGAATTTATAGTGACACGTGAGCGGGCAGGCAATCCAGGAAAGTGGTGGATACTCAAGGTGTGAGTGTACGTGTGTCTTCTACAGAGTTTTGAAGCCTCTGTTCTTGGGCAGGTATGAGATAGGCCTTAGTGCTGATCATTTCTTGCCTGCCTTGCTTACAAGATTTACCACGTGATTCTTCATAGACATTCTGGAATCAAATTTCCACCCAAGGATATGCACCTCTTCCCCGGGTTCTAACACTCTTCCACTTCTACTCTTTCTGTCTTTGTGTCTGTCTGTCTGTCTTTCTGTCTATCTCTCTGTCTCTCTGTCTCTGTCTGTCTGTCTGTCTGTCTGTCTGTCTGTCTGTCTCTTTCTTTCTCTCTCTCTCTCTTTCTCTTCCCTTTGCCTCCCACTCAGCTCGTAAGAGGAAGATGATCTTATCACACTATCACCATAATAATTCACATAGGGCGGCGGGTGGTGACACTGTACGATGGTCAAGATCTATGTGTGTGTGTGTGTGTGTGTGTGTGTGTGTGTGTGTGTGTGTGTGTGTGTGTGTGTGTGTGTGTGTGTGTGTGTGTGTGTGTGTGTGTGTGTGTGTGTGTGTGTGTGTGTGTGAGCGTGTGCGTGTGCGTGAGAGAGAGAGAGAGAGAGAATTATATGTATAGTCACCCTTTCTTCATTTCTGTCCAAAGTCAGTTGAATTTTAGTTTCCCTCACGGCAGCATTCTTTCTTTCCCGTTCTATGTTCATATCTCCCTCTCTCTCTCTCCCTACAATATTTTCTTAACAGAATGCTTCCAGAAGAAAAGGACACTTATGAACTTAAGACATTTTCGAGGAGACGCTTCAGTCCCGGGACTTTGTTTACTTTTATGACACGTAGAGTACAAAAAACACAAGGCGCATGTCAGGCAGGAGAGATGAGGTAAGTATAGTCAGCGGTCATGTGAGGTTTAATCCTACCTCAATAACAATCACGTGGTGACCACGTCACGATGTAGGCGGGACGATGCGAGGTCTGAATCATGCGGGGTCAAGGTAGGGAAGATTTTGTAACTTCATGTGTTCAGTCGTATTAGGAACTGCGATCAATGATTCTTTCAGGCGCCGTTGCCTCCACAGCTTAGAATCGGTAAAAATTATCTGGGCCTCGTTGCAGTTCATCAGGTGGCCGTCGGGGTTTCTGTGGGTTATGCAAGCATTGCTCTGGTTGTCTCTGCTATATATATATAATTATGCTCGCTCAACAGTTTCTCCTAACTTCTTACCGCATTATCCACATGAACTGTTTAGACACCCAAGCAGTAGAAACTCAGGGAAAGGTAGAAGGAGGTTTCATGATTACGTACTAGATAGATGCAGTGGCTACCATAGCCACAGCCAAGGGTTTCTTCTAGTGAAGAGCCCGGATTGCGTTGTCAGCCACACCACACATGGGAGTACTTAGTAAAGAATAAAAAAACACAATACTGTGACTGGAACAAAACACAGATAACACATACATAGAAGAATGATATTTATGACGACGTTTCGATTGTCATAAGTCTCATTATCTATACGAGTTATTTGTGTATGGAGTACTAAGTATTTCTTAGTGGTCCTTACAGTGGAAGTTGCATATAGCGTGGGTGAGCTCTGTGTATGTAGTCCTGGATGAAAAGGATGGGAGAACGGATGCGTGCGAAATCTTGAGTGATAAATTCAAGACGGGAAATTTGAAGGCGTAATAGAAGGAATCCAATTACTACGCTATACTCTTACCTGAAAAAATTGAAGTTGACACAGAGGAAGCTGGAGGCTAATGTCACTGGATATTTTCCACCTAAGAATGTTTATGGCGATGTTGGTGGAGACGATGGTGAACAAAGGGATGACCTCAAAGGAAGCCGTGTGTTCACAATGGAAAAACAGGAAAAAAGGTCCCCAGAATGTTTCAAATGTGCCAGAATGATGGTATTCAGACGTCCTGAAAGATTTTTTGCGAGATGATCAACCAGCTGATGTGGGTCACTGCCCATGCCGAAGTGATATGGCGGACAGGAACGCTGGGTTAATGTCTTTCGTATGCTGTAGAGTCGTGCACGTTTTGGCTGCACAGGGAAGTTTCCTCAGAATTCCTTAGAATGCTACGGGCTTTCTACAAGGAAACTTTAGTACTACGAGAGAAATGTGATGTTATCCTTCCTTGCAGGGGTTGGTAACAATGAAATTGTCACTGCTGGACAATCCTCTAAATACGTGGATATAGTTGCCGAGGATGTTTGTTTACACAAATATCATATGCCTGGTGTGTTACCAAAATACTTCCTATTTATTAACAACCACGCGCTGCAGCATCTCTTTCCCAGTACTTGTAAGACCACCTATCTCCTAGCAAGTTCACCTACCTAATAATTTTATCATCTAACATCTAGTAAAACCTCCTGCATACCTGTGCGACCACCTGCAATTCACCCCACTAATAACTGTGGTAGACGTGTATCTATAAATCTGACTTAGCGTCTTGTAGATGTAAATTGTTTTAATAATTTTGCTAAAGAAAATTTTCTTTTGTAAATCTTTCTGAGGTCTTTACTGGTGAGCATTGCAGTAGGTATACCGAGCCATGCTAGGCTAGTCTTACTCACACCCAGCCATTTCCACTCATATATTTATCTAGATTACTGTAACTCCTCCACCAAACTCTGGACATTTCCTCCGGCTATTATTCTTTAAAGTTCCGTTTTTTCTACATAATCAAAATTCAAGATTCCTGTACTAATATCTTCCATGACAATATCTTCCTGGATCCCTCGTCACTATTTTTTGCTCTTATTTCAAGATATATTTAGTGAGAATCTTTTCGATTCGTTTTATCTGTTTTCCTTGCCTCTCATATTTAACGATGAGCAGATCTTACCTTTTCCTCCCCAACTGCTTCCCTTTCTTTAATGCTCTTTCTGGGTACACAGACCCTACGTTAATCACCCTTACCTCCTCCCACCTAAATGGTTCCCTTTCCCTAGTGCTCTTTCTATACTGTAGATACTCACATCTAACGTTGAGCACCATCCTTTTGCTGACAGAGGGAGGAACGGAATTGTTAGCGATGCAGAGGTAGTGGCCCATGTCTGTCCTGGTGACAGTCCTGAAGGAGAGCACACCCACGGTCTTCTCCACCCCGCCCACGCTCCTCGTCTCGTTCGACGCTGCGCCGGGAAGAGTAAGAACAGCGATGCTTGAGTTAAGAAAGTTAATACAAGTCACGGTAAGATGCACTTACACAGTCTTCTCTTAAACAAGAATAACTAGTTGACAGCACTCTTGGATAACAACTAAAATAATAATAATAATAATAATAATAATAATAATAATAATAATAACAATAATAATAATAATAATAAAATAATAGTAACAACAATAATTATAAAAATAACAATAATTATTATTATTATTATTATTATTTTATTATTATTATTATTATTATTAATTATTATTATTATTATTATTATTATTATTATTATTATTATTATTATTATTATTATTATTATTATTATTATCATCAACATTATTATTATTATACAAAGTAGATACATCGTTCAACCATTGATTTGTATGTTGCAAATTTTTCAGAATGTACACAACTAGTGGTCTAATTAAAATTTTTCACGTGAATGAACATAGATACTTGCTAAGTTTTAATGTTATACTTCAAGACTTTCCCAACGAGCGAGGGTCAGTACACTTACTGTCCCCACGCTCACTGACATGTCAGGTACCACCACTAATATATAAGAATCCGTTGTTATATTACTTTTAATATTCCTTAATGAAGTGAGAGTTCACGAAAGCGCTGCAATATATATATATATATATATATATATATATATATATATATATATATATATATATATATATATATATATATATATATATATATATATATATATATATATATATATATATATATGTATGTTTATAAGGGAGTTACGTTCACAATAACAAAATATTAGACAATCTAGAACACTTATGGGGTGAAGGTTCGCCTGGAAGAAAAATTTAGGACGTTAGAGAGAACATAAAGAACGTGAGGAGGAAGAGGAGGAGGAGGAGGAGGAGGAGGGGGAGCAGAACCGGTGCCTTCGACCCAACCTCTCAAGTTATGGCCAGAATATTTCTCAGTGTTTCTCAAGTTAAGATTATTTTCTCCAGGAAGAACGCAGGAATGGTGATAGGGAGAGAGAGAGAGAGAGAGAGAGAGAGAGAGAGAGAGAGAGAGAGAGAGAGAGAGAGAGAGAGAGAGAGAGAGAGAGAGAGAGAGAGAGAGAGAGAGAGAGAGAGAGAGAGAAAGAGAGAAAGAAAGAAAGAAAGAAAGATGACCCATACTGGTTCAGTGGTTTGCGCTTCATGTCGGTATAATTAAAATAGGTCTAAGGCCTCCTGACAGTACTTAGTCATTAAGGTCGTGAATCACCTGCTTATTGATACAAAGAAAGACTTTATGCCCTAAACAAAAGATTAAAGTAAGCACTTAGTGTATATTCACTAATGTTATTATTATTAGTAGTAGTAGTAGTAGAAGCAATAATAGGATTACTGTTATTATTATTATTATTAGATTCTTGTAGAACACTAAACCAGTAGGGGTACTGCAGTATTTGGAGAAATAGGAGACAGTCACATTCAATCTGAGGAAGTGGAAGATAACTCCTCTTTCTTGGATCAGTATACCTCACCGGCAAACACATTTCTTTATATATATATATATATATATATATATATATATATATATATATATATATATATATATATATATATATATATATATATTATATGTAATATAGGGAGGTACCACCTCTAGAACTGTCATGGGGACCCTCATCCTTAGAGAAAAGAATAAACTTGCTTCAGGGAAAACTCAGTGTTTTCCCTGAAGCTGTTTGAGAATTTTCTCCTACCACCCCCTATATTTCAAGTATGTTTTATTTAAAGACAAAAATACATTGGCCAAACATTCACAAAAATACAACAGAAAGCAAAACAACATAGGTAACTCAGAGCTACATCTCGAATACTTCGTTCAGCTCCCCTGCAGTGGGCCGCGTGCCCAGAATGCTGCAGGCATTTCCTCTCTGGATCGCAACACTGAGTCTCTGAAAGAGAAAGCTGGTCGCCCTGTGGTCCTTGGTTTCTATGATGAGCTTTTCACCCAGCTCTTTGAGGAACTTTAGAGCACACTTGCCCCATGCTCCAAGGGTCTCCGACCCTATTGGAATGAAGTTATAACAAGGGGGAAGGTCTTCATATTTTCGGATCTTCTGGGTCTCCCTGTGGCTGGCAGCTCCACCCCCTTCCACTACAGAGTATGGCAAGTAGGTGTCTGCCAATATGGCAGCACAGATGTAGTCCCAGGCAATCTGCTTTCCATCCTTCCAGGGTAGCATAGTGGCTCCATCAGGACTTTTTGACTTCCATCAGACCTCTGTACTTGGGGTTCCCGTTGAGCTGGGCAACGGGCTGTGGCGAGGCTTCTCTTTATGATGTCATTGACCTCCTCATGTCTGGCATACTTCCCTTCTGCTGTGTGACACACAAGACCATGAAGTCCGAATTGATCAGCTGTCGCCCTGCCGCAAATACACCTATGTTCGGTGAGGATGGGGGCGGCTAGGCGAAGAGCAACACCAATCCGAATGGCCTGTGGGTCGAGACGGGTGCCCAAGGAGGAATTGGGAACAGCTAACAGGAAATCTCCTGAGTGTGGTGCCTTCACTGCCAGGAGACGAGCTTTGTCTTTTCCTGAAGCATTGGAGAGCATTGTGTTGGCGATTTTTTCCATGATCGGTTTGTCCCAGTGGGACTGTTTGTGTTGTTTGGGAGGAGCTGGTCTACTGGAGGAGTCTGTAATATATATATAAATTTATAACCTTTTTACTTTTTCCAAGTTAAACATCTCCTGTGTCATAAATCGATAAACGTTTGTTAAAAAACAATGAAAAAGACCCTAATTCCTCTCAGTTTTCAAAAAAATCACTTCTATAAAAAACTATGAATCACTATATATCTGCGATACTACTCATAAGTAACAACTCAAGACAGTACTAATGATTTTCACATTTCGATGGAAAGCACATTGAGGAAAATGAGTATCAGGTATTAGTATTTAAAAATGAAAAAGACGAAGTAAAACTGGATGAACTACATTTGAATGATGACAAGACTGGAACTATTGCTGAAGGAATGGCAAAAGTTATTGAAGAAAACAACTTATGGAATACAATAAAGATGATCATTGCTCTGAATTTCCTCAGAGAAGGGAATTAGCAAACCACAATTTATCAGTTGTCACCATCACGTTCAGGACAGGATTCTCCATTTGTTAATGGATGAAAATCTTGGTGCTAAAATAAGTTCTCCAAATATTGAGTATACATTTGTATCCCAACTGGTGAAGAATTATGAGGAACTAAAGACACAGTTTGTTAATGGAACAGAAGAGATCCTCCATAAATCAGGATGTAGAGATGATATGAAGTTTTTGTACCCTCTAACACGAGTGTTTAGATTCTTTGAAGACATTCAAGGTGGAATTCAAGAACCATTCTAGCTATTCTTGCAGTCATTCTTATACTTACAAGACGAAAGACTTTGGAGAAGATATGCAGATTCATTTCATACACCTGGACAGATTATATATGTATGTGTGTGTGTGTGTGTGTGTGTGTGTGTGTGTGTGTGTGTGTGTGTGTGTGTGTGTGTGTGTGTGTGTGTGTGTGTGTGTGTGTGTGTGTGTGTGTGTGTGTGTGTGTGTGTGTGTGTATTTGTGTGTGTGTGTGTTTGTATATATACCGAGATACACACTTCTGTGTGTACTGTATATACACCGTAAGGGGTAAATTTGGGAGACACTTATGTTGAAGACGTGGGGAGGGGAAGCCGTGACGGCATCTGATTGTGAATAATTACCTAAGACGCAGCCATGAAGTTTAACTGCTACCGACTTGGTATTGCCCAGTGAGCATACAAGATCCCCTTGGGGATGACTAATCAGAATTAGCTAAATTCCGTCTGGTTATGTTTCAGAATTAACTCGTGGCTATTCACGTAATGCTTTGCTTGACTCTTAAGATTTTTTTTAGTATTCTGCTATTCGTTAGTGAGTGCGGTTTAATTAGTTTTGATTGCATTACAAAGTGCTGGTTGCGTTACCAAACCCGGGTTGCGTTATTAAGTGCGGGTTGCGTTACACATTGCAGGTTCCTTCATTAAACTTAAGGTTCGTCTGATTATGAACAACGGCATATATATCTCAGTGTATATGCTGAGAGTTTAACTTGCAACCGAATGTAAGAATTAAACTTTTCTTGACTGGTGGTACGGAGGTGACTTACAGCTTTTCTGAACCTTGTGTTTTCGACAGGCTTTAAACCTTATAAACCTCGACTATTAAGAGTGCTTCGGGCGGGGTATTTTTAGTGACACTAGAAGTAAACGAAGATATTTTGTACTAACTGAAGCTAAGAATAATAAACAGACCACTAAATCCTCTAAAAAAAAGTGAAAAATACACTTTAGTTAAAATAACAGAGTGACGTTGGCAAGATTAGAGATACGAGACCTGACAAGACACCTGAACACAAGAAGGAAGCACAGTGTTCAAAATTTACATAATAGTGCTTTAATTGTGAATTATTGTCTTACTGATGAAGGTACTGATGGGAGGTCACGTTGATGCGGACACCAGAGTTGGGAGGCATCAAGTAATGTAAGTATTGGTCTTGTTTGATGGGAAATACACTATTGTAGTGGAGGATTTATTGTAGAAAATGGAGCTTAACTGGACTTCAACATTTATAAATGTAATACGACTTAGAAGTTGTTTTTACAGCACAGGTTCTTAAAAATGTTGTGTGACCTTAAGGTCGGTGGGGTTTTATGGATTTATAATAACAATGGACTTTAAAGGCCAATATGATGTTCATGTATTATTAGTAAGGTAGAGAGCATTTATAGGTTATAATAATAATAATAATATTGATTTCTACAAGTACAATGTATACAGGCTTAGCTGACATCGACACCATGCCCAGCCCTTCTAGGGTAGGGTAGGTGCCTAAGCCCGAGCTTACAGCTCACAAGACTGTCATTCCCATTAACTCCCCTGGGGCGGAGGTGGCAGACCAGAGAGACCTAGCTTGTGGCTAGGCCT